TAAAGTGAGTCAAGTCATTTGGACTAACTCACTAGTATATATATATACACACAAAACTGCAACAGTCTGTGCCCATACAGCGTTAGATGCTAGGCCTAGAATGGCTGGACACTGGAAGTTCAATCTATCTTTACTGGACAGGCGGGACTTCAAGCAACAGCTAATTAGACTAATGCAGTGGGAACTAGTGGGGGTGGTTATTGAGAATAGGGGGTGGGAGAGGCTTAAGGATAGGATTAGATCCTGCACTGCCGAATATAGCCAGCGGCTCTCACTAGATAAGGTTAAAAACGTGAAGACAAAGATAGTCTGTTCCGGGCGAGGGCTGGCGGGAGGACTCCTTAGAGATAGATTTAGCTAGGGGGGCTCTGGAGCATGCGGCTAGCGAGCGCTACCAGGGTCAGATAGAAATAGTTTAAACAAGATGTTTAACGAAGCTGTGAACATGGGCGCACAATTGCGCAAGGAAGAGATCCGTCGAGGTTACGATCGTTACATTCGTGAGGTTGAAACCCCGGAGGGGCGTACTCTGATGTCGACTGACGACATGTGCGGGGCGTTTCGGCGATATTTCGGGAGCCGTTTTACGAAGGAACCTTGTTTCAGTGGCGATGAGTTTCGCAGCTATTTGGCTGACTTTCCTCGGCTTTCGCCGACTGAAGCGCCTAGCTGCGAGGGTGAGATCACGAAGGGCGAAGTCTATTTGGCATTGAAGAGGGTCGGCAGTGGCATGTCTCCGGGACTTGATGTTTTACCCTATCAATTTTACTTGAGGCTGTCGCACATCTTTGTGCCGATTTTGACTGTCGTGTTCAACAACTGGTTCCGGCAGGGGTCCATTCCCAGTCCGATCACCAGTGGTGTGATCACGCTGTTGAAAAAGGGCAAGGATGGAGGGAGGGATTTAGATGGTTACAGACCCATAACTCTGCTAAACAGAGTTAAAGATTTTGGCCAAGATCCTGACGGAGCGTTTGCAGTCAGTTGCCGTGAGTCTGTTAGAACCCGATCAGACTTATCCTGTGAAGGGCCGAACAATTTTGCATCTGATCCACACGATCCTCGAGGGTGTAAAAGACGACGAGCAAGCCGCGCTGATCAGTTTGGATCAGTCCAAGGCATTTGATAGGATCGACCATCAGTATCCGACTTCTGCAAGTGGATTAGCCTTCTGTATCGTTCCCCCAGTGTTGTGGTACAGTTGAATGGAAAGCGGCCGCGTGCTCTTGTGCTGTCTCGGTCGGTTTGTCAGGATTGTCCACTGTCGCCCATACTTTACGCTTTCGTGTCATGTCACAGTGATATTGAGGTGGTACAGAAGGCGCTTGAATGGTACGAAAAGGTGACGGGGGCCAAGATTAGCCGTAACAAGTCTTCCGTTTTGTGGTTAGATGCCTGGAATGCGGTTTATCTTCCGGGGCCCTTTGGTTACGCGGACGGTCCTGTCCGCATTCTTTGAATATGGTTTGGACCCGACTCCAGCTGGAGAAAAACTGGTCAGAAGTACAGGCAAAGGTCGGAGCGTCGGTCCAGACTTGGCTGCGAAGGAAGTTGTCCTTGAAGAGTAGAGCTGAGCTGTGTGCCACTTACGTCTTTCCGCTCATCCTTTACCGGTTGGCTGTAATTTCTCTTTGCAAGGACCATAGAAAGCGATCGAGCGCTTGTTGTCCACCCTCTTGTGGGGTGGGATAAAGCAGAAGGCCCGTAAAGAAGTTTGTGTCCAACGTCTGTGTCATGGGGATGCCTGGGATTGCCACACTTAGTGAGTCATCGACAACCATCGATATTGGCTTTTCTATTCTGAGTTTTGACAGAGGATTCGATTTTGGTGGTAAGTGCTGGGTACTCCTTCCTTAGCATTACTGTCACTCCTCCCATTTTCTGGGGTAAGCGTCGTCGTAGGCCCGGGAAATTGTCGACTTTCCTCAACGAGTGTCGAGCGGCCTTGAAGGCTTTTCCAGTGACCTTTCACAGCCTCGAAAGGTTTTGTATCGTGAATTAGTGGAGGGGGTCGCGAAGGACCGTCTCTGTAAGCGGATCAGCTTGTCGCTGGCCGAGTTGCGCTTTTTCTGGTCTTGGGCGTGAGCGTAGATTTACCTCAGTAACCATAAGTTTTCGCTTACCTGGCGATTGATTCGAAACATGCTCTTTGTCAATAACATGCCCTTCAGATGGGGCTGGGTGAATTTGCCCGACTGTTACCGGTGTAACTTTAGTTTAAAAGAAACGGCTTTGCGCGCCTTCTACCATTGTCCTCAGGTACGCCTTTTCTGGGACTATATCGGCGAGTTGACGGCTCGTATTGCTCCCGATCAACTTGTGCTCGTCGATCTCGCATTCGCATGCGACCTCCGTATTCTGAATGATGTTTCAACGTTGCTAGCTGTGGCAAGAATGGTGGTCTGGATGACGCGAAAGGAGGGAATCTTGCGACACGAGCGGTATTCTTATCAGGCTCTGACTGAATTCTTTCGGCATCAGCTGAAAGTGAAGATTTTGAATTGACAGAAATTGTTAGGTGTCAACAGATTTCAACGAAAGATACATATGGCTAAATATGCGCAATTCAGCTCTGGCTTTGTTTTAAAGTTACCAAAAGCGTTTCCAATTACTACTACAGCCATCATCTAAACTTATACCTCCTTCTTCCTTCATCCCCTTTCTCTATCCTATTTCCACCTTTCCTCCCTCACCCCTTACTCTTGGGAGGCTCGGAAGCGTTGTGCCTAAACCCTTGACCGTTGCTGTTGATTTAGATTTTTCGGGTCGAGCCATCACCTTAGCACCTCAACAATCCTTCAGCAAACTGCTATCAACAAGTACTAGTGTCTTACTCTGTCACCCTTTTGCCTTTCCTATCTTTTCTTTATCCTTATATGTCCTCTCTTAAACTGTTTCACGAGCAGACTGCTTACAAACAGAATTGTTCATAACCATTTTTGGTTCTCAACAGTTGAGGTGCAATTGAAATACACCGAAACAAAGTTGCATCTTTGTAGTGAGTAAATTGTTTTTGTCGATATGAAAAAATTATAATGAATAAAAAATAAATAAATATATATATATATATATATATATATATAATAAAAAAGCTTAAACACTAATATAATTATAATTTTTTTCATATCGACAAAAACAATTTACTCACTACAAAGATAATAAATTCATAAAGTCTAGTTACCTAAAAGGAAAGATCATTAGAACGATTAGCATGAAAGTATTTATAAAAAATTGACAGGTAAGTGTTGTGGTACGATCCACCTAATTTACATAGTGGAGTACCGACCATATAAATATGGTTGGTACCGGGAAGACTGGGGAGGAAGAAGAGATCCAATCCAGAGACTCTGCCTGACTGCGACTAAGTTAACCCATTCTACAGGAACGGTCTTCCCAAGACTAGACCAAACTATCTGTAAATATTGTGTACACTTTCTTTGTTCAATACATTTTGTTTCAGTACATTTTGTGTTGTATTATTATTATTCCATGTTTTATTCAAGTTTCAACAGTAAGCTGCTTCAGGGCGATGGGAAAGTGATTGAAGCCGTGATACTAGACCAGGACCAATAATATTGCTGATATAATATTGTTATTATACAACGAGCACCATTTTATTAGCACCATCACTCAATATATATATATATGTTTAGAATTACCAAACCTCTCTATTTCACTTTATTAGCGTTGCACGTGATTTTGTTTTATGCGAGACTTTTTTTTCTTTTTTTTAGATCCTTCATTTCCCACAGTTGTCAGAATGGAACCATTCATCTGTCATAGGGGCTTTTATACCATTCGCTTAAAGATTCGCCCACAGATGGCAATGTTCTCGTCCTCTTCTGATGGACCGTATTGTTAAAAAAAACAGAAGGCATTTAAACAACACCGACATGCCGTGGGATTAAAACATGCATTATAAAAAAAAGAAAAGAGACCTGAACTGTTACGTAATATCAGTCCTCTTCTATGGTAGTGAATGCTGGACAATCTCCTCACAGATGAATAAGAGACTTGAATCAACAGGAGCAAAAAAAAGAGTACTGAGCTGTTATGTAATATCAGTTCTCCTATATGGCTGTGAATGCTGAACAATCTCCTCACAGATGATGAAAACATTTGATGGAACAGAAATGTGGTTCTACAGAAGGATTTTGAGAATTGAACTGAACGTTGAAGTTTTAGAGAAAATGGAAACAAAATGGGCGTTTATACTTAACGTCAGAAAGAGATAGCTGAAATTTCTAGGGCACATAAAAGGGAAAGAGGGCTTGGAGAATTTAATACTCCCAGGGCATATTGAAGGAAATGAGGGACAGAGGAAAACAATGCATAATTTTACTTAGTGAGCTTGAATAACTGGTGTGCGAAAAAAGTTTTATGAGAGATAACAAAAAGACAAAATTTATTAAGAGCTACAAAGAACGGGAAGTTGTGGAAAGCCATGATCGTCAACGCCCTAAAGGGACACGGCACACAGAAGAAGAATGCAAAGATAACTGACTCATGAAAAGTCATATTTCATTTTAAACAAAGAAAAGAATACTGAACTGCTATGTAATATCAATCTTTCTATATGGCAGTGAATATTGGACAATTTCCTCACAGATGAAGAGGAGACCTGAAGCAACAGAAACAAAAGTGCGCTGAACTGCTATGTAATATCAATCCTCCTATATGGCAGCGAATGCTGGACAATCTTCTCACAGACGAAGAAGAAACGTGGCAATAGAAATGCGGTTCTATAGAGTGACTGATTTGTTTTTACGGGTTATCAACCTTTTGCAGGTTATTTAAAGCCAGATAACATTTTTAGATTATAAGAATTTTTGGAGACAGTAATGATATACTGACACAAGTCCTACTAATTAACTCATAGCTGGAGGGAGAAGAGATATATTTGTGCGTAAGTGAATATAACAAACCCGACTGAAATTGAAACCCAGCTCTCCGACTTCTAATTCTGGGCCGTTATCCCTTACACCACCCACACATACGAGCTTACAGCACCTGGTATTCCCAAGCGGTCGCTCGTCTAGATACTGACCAGGCTCGACGTTGCTTAACTTTGGTGATTGTACGGGAACCAGTGTTTCAACGTGACATAGCTATAATACCCGTGGTTCTACAGAAGGATGCTGAGAATGCAATAGTTTGAACATGGGAGTAACGAGGTGGTTTTAAGGAAAATGAAAACAAAAAGTCCAGTTATAATTAGAATAAGAAAGACGCACTGGAAGTGTCTAGGGCACACAATGAGGAAAGAAGGTTTGGAGAATCTGACACTCATAGGGCAATGAAGGCAGGAGAGACTGGGGCTAACGAACTTGTGGAAATGGATGTCAGAAGAAGAACTGGAAGTGATGGTGAAAAGACAAATCTTACTAAAAGCGACAATTGATAGGAAGTTGTGGAGAGCCATGAGTGCTCATTTCCTGAATGGAAACCTCATATAAGCTTATCGATGCTTTGCAGGTTATTTACAGCCAGAAAATATTTTATAGTCTAAGAATTTTTTTTACATAATAATGGTTTAGTGATACAAGTCTTACTATTTAATCCATAACTTGGGGTGAAGTGTTGGATTCATACCTTTCCCGAAATTTTTAGCTGTAAGTAAATATATTGAACCTGACTGGAATTAGAACTCGGGTCACCGATTAACTATTAAGAGCCATTATCCATTACACCACACGCACACCCAAGCTTTTCCTAAAGCGGTCACCGATCACTGTACTGAACAGGCTCAACGTTGCTGAAGCAGTTTTTTTCTGACCCTTTTACTCACCAGATTTAGTTGCCATATGTGACATTGTCCAACATTTACTGCCATAGAGGAGATTTGATATTACATAGCAGTCCAACGCTCTTTTGTTTTTGTTGGTTTTTTTTTTTTTTTTAGCAAAATTTCTTTTGTCTTGATACTTTGCTTCGTTTATCGAAGGCATATTTCTCTATGCCAAAGCGCTTTCGGATTTCAATTCCACATTCCCCGTCGTCTCTTGCTACACTACCTGTTGATAGTTAAATTTTGGCGTCTTCAATAAGTAGCACACGACTTTTTCTTTTATGATCATGCATTCTGTCGTCTTGCAGATATATATATATATATATATATATATATATATATATATATATATATATATAAAGGCATTAAAAACAAGAAATTTTATATTGTAGGCCATGATAGATTTAAAACAAAACACACACCAGTCGACCGGTTTCGTCCCCTCTCATCAGAATTGTTAACGGGGAACTAAAATTATGAGGAAAAGAAAAAGAAAAAGTCTGTCATGGATGACATGAATGAGTGGACAGGGAGAAAAAAAATATTATAAAAAATTATACCAACCAAGATGCTAGAAGCGCAGCACAGCAAGTCCAAGCAAGCAATCTCTTTGTTTGCAAAGAGCAGGTTGCCTGGACCTGATGTAAAGCGTCTCCAACACCTTAAGATGGAATAATGAGTGCGAACTGGCCAAAACGGAAAACCAGTTCACACTGAAATCCATCGCACAACTGGGATTCTTTATAAAGTGATCCGAAATCCATCGCACAAGTGGGATTCTTTATAAAGTGATCCGCAATACGTGTTACGAATGGTATCGCCCAAAGAAAAAAATTTTTTCAGTGTTATAGCAGGTACGTGTTATTTAATTCTAACGTCCAACCGCTGTGTCGTTCTACCTATGTAATCGCATCCACAACTACATTTGAAATGGTAAATAACAGAATTAATATGGTGGGGGGGTGTAGAACATCTTTACACATAGATGAAAGTACGGACTTAGTTTGAAAGACAACACGAACGTTCGCTGCAAAATAACACTCACATGAACTACATGAATAGATGTTCTTGTTCAAAGAACTCCTTCCTCGTTCATTACCTCTGTGTACAGGAAGTCTACTTTTACAGGACTATATACTCGATGGGACTCCTTTTATCCTAAACGACAAAAGATAAATTTGATTAGGACCCTGACACATAGGGCGTTAATGATTTGTTCGGGTGACACCTTGAAACATGAAATCAGTTGTTTAACTGAGATCTTTGTGAACAATGGTTATCCGTTGAACATTGTTCAATCGGTTACTCGAGATGAGACTGCCAGGTTCAACAAAATCAAACCTGCTTCAGGGGGTAAATGTCCGGTCTATCTTGGTTTACCGTAGTTGGGTAGGATTAGTGAATCCTTCGCCAAGCGTATTTCATGTAGTTCACGTGAGTGTTATTTTGCAGCGAACGTATATATTGTATTTCCAACTAAGGAATAAATATACTTTTAATATAATTAACTGTAAACAGATGCTTAACAACTAAATAGGTATAGATATGCTACAAGCCCAGATGAAAATCTTGTACATCCCACCCGACTTTGCGAGTTTTCTAAGTCTGTTGAATAGAAAACTAATGTGTCACAACTTTTCTGTGTGTCCTTTCAGTTTTCTTTCTGTATCTATCATCATCTTGTGGTATTAGGACGGAACAGACATTGCGATCAAATTTCACACCAAATCAAAGAAAGCCAGATTCAAGGTTGACCTGGGCTTACTCCCGGTCGCCGAATGCAGAGGTACCTGACCGCACACCCGCATCCGGTATCGCAAGCATAGGAACGGGGATGTTGGACAGGTGGATATATAAAGAACTGTCTCAGATACGATTCGAGCAGTCTCTAAACACACTACCCCCACATACTATGTTCATTTTATTCTCAGCATTCGTCGGTAAAACCACATTTTCCCTTCAAGTCTGGGATGAGATTTGTCATGCATTCGTTGCCATATACAAGATTAGTTATTACAAATCATTTCAGCAGTCTTGACCTTGTTTCTACGAAATTTTCATGTGTCTTAATACTTTGTTTAGTTTTTGGAAGGCATCTTTTTTTATTCCATCGCGCTTTCGGATTTCGGTATCACATTTTTCGTCATCTGCGGCTGCACAATCCAGAGAGTTAAATTTCTGTATCCAATTTCGTCGCTTATACCTTGGGTTATCTCTTTGCTGATGGACTTACATTCTGTTTTCTTACAGTTGATAGTCCACTCTTCACGCTTTCCTTTACCACTTTGCCTAATAGCACTTGCAGTTTTTCTTCTGAGTTTGTCATCAATAGTGTCATCTGAGAATATTATTTTGTTAAGATTATATCCATCTCAGATATGATTCGAGCAGTCTCTAAATACATCGCAGACAAAGAACGTAAAGTTTATGTTTCTGTAACGAGAGAGCGCTATGGAAAACAGATTTATTCTCCTGCTTATATTTTCCCCATTATGGGCATTATTAAATCCGTCATATAATAACACCATAGTTCACGGACGTAACAGAATGGCTGGAATGACAAACATGCTTTGTTCTCAAGACTTTTATACTACTAAAATATACACAAAACTATATATACATATACACCCATGTTCCACGCGTAGAATATTATATCACATATATCAACACAGCAAAGCAAAGTGTAAAGAGAAATAAAACAAAAAAATATAATATGGAGATAAGTCCTGTGTTTGGAAAAGCCGTGTTTTGGGACTCCAAATTCAAACGGGCCGGATTCATCTATATCCCAGGTGAGGACATATTCCACGGACGGGAAGCAGCGAGTCCCGTGTCTTCCCAAATTAACGACCGCTGGCTGGAGTTTTATTCTATATCTGGGAAAGATATGTACTTGTAAGCTGCTGGGAAGGCAGATTTCGTCTCTGTCCAAGCCATGTTCTAAAGAAATCAACCTTACGGTTTAGCTGCTGTAAACAAACAGAATGTGACTGCCGCTGCATGGAATGACGGTACTGAGCGGTCCGTCACGTGACCCATGTGACTTATCACCACTACTGGCCAAGAGTAAATGGCAAAATACTGAAGAGAATAACATATTAAGCAATGAAGACTCAAGTCTATAGACAATTAGGAAATAATGGAAAAAAGCCAACAGTGTACGAATTCAGATCGTGACTACACTCCACTGAATAAGATTCGATATTGATGGTTAAATTAGGAACCTTTGGATATTCATTCCAATGCTCTAGCTACAAATTTATTTCGGTTTATGTGCGACAGTCTGTCTATCATAATCGTCTTCCTAATGTCACTGGCATTTTAAAATGTACAGATTGAAAAAAAAAATCTCGTTGCTTCGCTAAGAATTGTCTGATTCATCTACGAAGGGTACTCGAAAAGACTTCCTCTTTAGACCTCGAATATTTATTACTGTATTGATTACTACATCCTGTGCCTGTTTTTATTTCGAGAGTTTGTTGGCCTTTTGTTATTTAAGATGAGACTTTTAAGTTCGCTTTCAATTCCTACCTCTCTCCTTCAAACTATCCACTTCTCATTGAAATCTTAAAAATAATAACGAAGAAGAAGAAGAAAAAGAAGGTGGCGAGGAGAAAAACCCATTAGGCAAATCATACTTGAAAACGACATTGTAGATATTAAATATATGGTATATATTTTATATGCTGCTGCTGCTTCTTTTCGATTCATGTGGGTGGAAAATGTAACGTTGTGAGATAATCAAAATTGAATAGATCCACTTGTGGAAAAAGAACTACATCTATCTATCTATCTATCTATCTATCTATCTATCTATCTAAATCTGCTCATATCTATATCACCGCAAGCAAGGCGATAACGCCACTAAGACGCAAGTGGGGTCAACTGGACGTGAAAGCGAAGGAAAAGAACTTAGATTAGATGGAACCGAAAACTCAACTTATATATAAGTTGTATAACTTTCGGAGTTTACGCGGATACGTTAGAAGTAAAATTTAGAAGGAACTAAAACCTAAGCAGGAAACTAGGGCTAGACCTTTGGTCCTGTTCCAAAAAACGGAGAGGAGCGTGAACCAGACGAGAGGTAAATCTATCTATCTATCTATCTATCTATCTATCTATCTATCTATCTATCCTCCAGCGCTTGTCACTTCACGCGCCTGCGCTTGTCACTTCACGCGCCTGCGCGCGCGCGCGCACACACACACACACACAAACACACACACACACACACACATATATATATATATATATATATATATATATATTACGATAAGTAAATCTATCTATCTATCTATCTATATATATATATA